TGGCTTCCCTGGTCAATATGGATCTGAAATGGTAGCCCAAGCCGTAGGAACACTTCTTCAACTAAATTCTTCGTGTTTCTTATTGTCTCGATATTAGCCATCGGAAAAGTTCCCCGATTGTAAAATAATTTGAGATTACTAGTATATAGCAATTGCCAGAAGACGTTGGTGGTTTTATCTTGCCCATAATTTCAATGGCATTCCCTTCCAATGGTGCGCTGGCTAAAAATGAGCAAAGATTACAATTCCTGACCAGTAGTAGGTTGTTCTAAGTTTGGCTAGAGTCATGGTTACACCTAAGTGACCCCCTACCCCACCCCCAGTAGATAAATCGTGAGCTAGTTGACCCTCTGGATTTTGGAAATTCCAGAGCCATGTGAAGGCTCCGTGGTCGCTTAAGGTTTAAAGTATTTCATAAACTGTACAATTGTCAAAAGCTCCTTTTGCTTTGATCATCGTTCGGCTACCATGGGCAATTACTCTCTCGCTCCCATCTATTTTCTGTGAGGGCACTGCACCAATTCCTTATCCACTGGAGGCTGTGTCTAAAACGAAATCTTCACTCGGGTCTGGGAATGCTAGGATCGGTGATGTAGTTAGCCTTTCTTTCTGCGTACTAAAAATATCTTCCTGTTCTTGATTCCAAATAAACAGTACTTCCGTCTGAGTAAGTGTATGCGAGGGAGCAGCAATATGCGAAAACCTTTCAATAAAGCGGCAATAGTACGAACAAAGTCCAAGGAAACCTCTTAGTTCTTTTAAAGTTTTGGCTTTAGACAGTTTTTCATGGTTTGGATTTTCTCTGTGTCGGAAGAAATCTGACACAATATGACCTATGTAACTTACTTTTTTCTGAAGGAGGGGGGACTTTTCGGGTTTCAACTTCAGACCAGTATTTTGTAACCGATGACATACTCCTGTTAATCTGGCTAGATGGTCCTTAAATGATTTTGAAAATACAATTATGTCATCAAGATAAAGCCAACAGGTTTCGAATTGAAGACCTGCTAAGACTGATTCCATTAACCGCTCACAGGTTGAAGGGGGATACGAAGGCCAAAGGGTATTACCTGGAACTAAAACAGACCTTTGAAAGTCATGAATGCTATTTTGTATTTATCCTCTTCCTACATTTCTACCTGTAAATATCCAGTGGCGGGGTCCAACGTTGAAAACCATTTAATCCCGGTTACTGAATCGAAAGTCTGGTCTATCCTAGGCAGTGGATAGGCATTCTGCTCTGTAATATTGTTTAGCTTTTGTTATGGTCAGAAAACCTTAAAAGTACTTTTTATTGTTTATTTTCATTTTAATAATATTTTTCATTTTTCGTCTCATTATTAATTATATTCATGATTTTTTGATTAACCACAGAGTCATGTGACTCTTTTTTCCGCTAAAAGAAAACCGCACTATACAATTGTAACTTTAGCAGTCATTTTGGTCTCGTGATTGTCAGTTAATATTGTTGTCATTCGAGTATCCACCAGTATGGTTTTGTCAGTATATTGTCATTGTCAGCCAGTGTTAGAGACTATAGGGGCATAAAAGCACGGTATTTGTATCATTTGTATTATTTAATTGATACTGTATGCCAGGCTTGTCAGTTGCATTTTTGTCACGGCATGGAAGCATTGTTTACACTGATCACTTAAAGCTAGTTGTCTCCCTTTAATTACTTTTTGAACTGCTAGTCTTCATATTAAAGAAATAATCAAATAAGAAAAATCAACGCCCTAAATAATCGCCATACTTGTTTTCAAGTTGTAGAACAATCATGGCGATTGTACGGCGTACATAAACAGAGGCATGCCAAGCCAACATCCAGTTCATGCCTTGTCAACCACACTGTCCACATCCGGCTAGCAATATTTCAGCTAAGTGATTGTCGTTTTTTCACTATCAGTTTACTGAAAATATTATTGCTACACAATTATTATGTCTGATCAGGTACATATTATTTTACTAATTATACGAAATAAGTAAACCACGGTGTACACCCTCCTCCAAATCAATATCAGTTCATCCAATTCGGGATACTGACATCTCTTGGGACGATTTGATAGTAGTGGATGAAATTAGTCCACCTGACAGTGCATCTCAGGTCAGTCTTAATAAGGACAAAGGAAAAGCGTAGAAAATCAGAGATTGAGGCAAGAATTGATATTTTAAAACAAAAACAGAAACTTGAACAAGCCAAGTTTAAAATACAGCAAGAAGAGGAATTGTTGACATTAAGATAGGTTGCCAGGCAACGAAACATATGCCCACAGCGGCTAAATCGTCCGAGGGTCGACAAGGGTTGTCGCATATTTATTCCTTTGTAGGTAATTGGTGGCCTTTACAAGCCAGTTCCATACAGATCAGATTATATTTTTTGCCGTTTGAGGGTTCACAAGGTTCTACAAATTGAAACAAGGGTCTCAACTCTGAAAGTAATCTACAGAAATTGTTGAAATTTGACAGGCTTTTTCGTTTCGCAAATTTAAATGATGCATATAAATTTCATACATATTGGATGATAACTTTCATCAATCGAGCATTAACAAGGTTGAACAAAGTGAAACAAGGGCAATAACTCTAGAGGTAATAAACGGAAATTGCTGAAATTCAACAGGATTCTTCTCTTTACTAATTTAAATGACGCATGTAAATTTCATACAGATCGGCAGATAACTTTTGATGTTAGAGCATTCACAAAGTTCAATAAAGTGAAACAAGGGCCATAACTCTAGACGTAATAAACAGAAATTGCTGAAATTCAATAGGCTTCTTCGTTTCACTAATCTAAATATGGCATATAAATTTCAGAAAGAAAGGATCATAACTTTTGGGGTTAGAGCGTTCACAAGGTTAAGCAAAGTGAAACAAGGGCCATAACTCTAGAAGTAATAAACGGAAATTGATGAAATCCAATAGGCTTCCTCGTTTCCCTAATTTAAATATTGCATATAAATTTCACAAAGATCGGATGTTAACTTTTGGTATTTGAGCGTTCACAAGGTTCAACAAAGTGAAACATGGGCCATAACTCTAGACGTTATAAACGGAAATTATTGAAATTAAATAGGCTTCTTCGTTTCACTAATCTAAATAATGCATATAAATTTCAGAAAGATAGGATCATAACTTTTAGAGTTAGAGCGTTCACAACGTTAAACAAAGTGAAACATGAAATTCAATAGGATTCTTCGTTGCCCTAATTTAAATATTGCATATAAATTTCACAAAGATCGAATATTAACTTTTGGCATTAAGAGCGTTCACAAGGTCCAACAAAGTGAAACAAGGGCCATAACTCTAGATGTTATAAACGGAAATTATTGAAATTAAATAGGATTCTTCATCTCACTAATGTAAACTACATATATCAATTTTAAAACAATTGGATAATAACTTTTGGCGTTAGGGCGTTCACAAGAAATTGTGGACGACGGACGGACCGACAGACGGACGGACGGGGGCGACGGCAATATACGTCCACATTTCCATGTGGGCGTATAAAAAATAGAATCAGCCTTAGTAAATACAAAGTTAGATGACCATATTGCCAGTCCACCTTTTGCAACTTCCCCACCTGAAGTTCCTCCTGGGGAATTAAAAGACATAGATCCAGTGAGACATTCCGCTTCAATGACGACAACAGAAGAAATGATGTTGACAGTAGTTAAAGAATTGAGGAAACCTAAGGGTGACATTAAAAAATTTGCATGTGATGACATATAAAAAATTCATCAGGCAGTTTAATTATATCAGTGAAACATTAGATAATACAAATGAAAAAATTAACTTGTTAGAGCAATTCACAATAGGTGAAGCAAATCAAATTGTTAGCGGTTATAGTCATCTTGACAGTCAATATGGGTTTCCTCCTGCAATTGAAGAATTGGAAAAACGATACGGAGATGATAAATTCATTGCCTCAGCGTATTCAAATAGAGCACTTGAATGGCCACCCATACGTCCTGATAAACTAAAAGACTTAGACAACTTCCCTATATTCCTTACGGAAATCGATAAATCTGTTAATAACATTCAGGGCATTAAATTTTTTAGAATATCCAGCAAACACGACTAAGTTAGTTCAAAAACGTCCGTATTACATGCATGGAAAGTGGAGAGACATTGTAGATCGAATATATGACGCCGATCAACCTGTGACATTCGGCGATTTAGTTAGGTTTGTTAAACGAGAAGCTAAAAAAGCCAACGATCCAATTATTGTAGAGGAGCTTTAGCAGTCAAGACAACACAACATCATAAGCCTGTTGCAAGACCAAAGCAGCACTCACTTTCAGCATTTGCAGGTCAACATTTTAGTGAACCACATGTGACAGAGAAAACACTATGCATTTTTTGTAAAAATGATAACCATGCACTACTAAAATGCAATGATTTCATCAAAACTCCATGTGCTGACAGAAAAGCTTTTCTTAAGCCTTAATTTTTATGTTATGGTAGTTTAAAGTTAGGCCATGGTATAACAACTTGTCGCAGAAAGGCAGTTTGTAATATATGCGAGAGAAGACATCCAACGATATTGCATGATGTTGAATTTGACGAAAGCCATAGAAATCCACAATAAAGTACTGCATGCAGTCTTCATACGGAGGTCGGTTTTTGCACAATGAATATTAAACCAGTTCTAGTTCGAGTTAAAACAGTGCTAGGACATTTAAAACTTATGCCTTTTTTGACAGTGGAAGCAGTGTTACATTTTGCACCACCAAACTGATGAAACCGTTAGGAAGTACTGGCAGTCTGAAAACAATACCTTTAAAAACAATGGGGAAGCCTTTCAGTCTACAGACTTTCGTCTTACATAATTTAAAGTTGTGGATCTTAATAGTAATAAAGTAGTTCCTTTACCAAAGATGAGATGCCAGTTACTAAAGAATCCATTCCAACGCAGGCTGATATTAAGAAATGGTAGCATCTACAAAACATTAACATACCAGAAATAGATGCTGAGATAGGTTTATTAATTGGAAACAACATACCTGGCGCTTATACTCCATTGGAAGTCATTAGGGGTCCTTCTTGTAGTCCTCACGAATCCAGAACAAAACCAGGATGGTCTGTATGGAACGTAATAAGAGAATAGGCAGTTAACCAAGTTCAGAACAACACATTTAGAGTAAATCGCCGTGAAGTAAATGTCATAAATGAAACAGAACAGTTAGAACAACTGGTACATAAAGCCATCAACATGGACTTTCCTGAAAAAATGACAGAAGACAAAAAAGAAAACAGTGTAGAAGATAAAATATTCTTAGATAAGATAAATTCTACTATAACTTACACAAAAAATGGTCATTATCAAATCAGTCTATCTTTTAGATCTAATGACATTATATTTCCTGATAACAGATTACAAGCCGAACATAGACACAAGTATTTACAGAAGAAATTAGGTTTATTAATTGGAAACAACATACCTGGCGCTTATACTCCATTGGAAGTCATTAGGGGTCCTTCTTGTGGTCCTCCCGCATCCAGAACAAAGCTAGGATGGTCTGTATGGAACGTAATAAGAGAATCGGCAGCTAACCAAGTTCAGAACAACACAATTAGAGTAAATCGCTGTGAAGTAAATGTCATAAATGAAACAGAACAGTTAGAACAACTGGTACATAAAGCCACCAACATGGACTTTCCTGAAAAACTGACAGAAGACAAAAAAGAAAACAGTGTAGAAGATAAAAGATTCTTAGATAAGATAAATTCTACTATAACTTACACAAAAAATGGGCATTATCAAATCAGTCCATCTTTAAGATTCTTAGATAAGATAAATTCTACTTAAACCAAAAATGATCATTATCAAATCAGTCTATCTTTTAGATCTAATGAAATTATATTTCCTGATAACAGATTACAAGCCGAACAGAGACTCAAGTATTTACAGAAGAAATTATCTAAAAATCCACAGTTCAGAGAAGATTACACCAAATTTATGGAAGACATGATAACCAAGGAATTTGCTATCAAAGTGTCATATAAAGATCTTAATAAAGATAATGGTAGAAGATGGTACTTGCTTCATCATGCCTGTTATCATCCTCGGAAGTTGTATTTGATTTAAGTGCAAAATTTTAAGCTATTTCTCTGAACCAGATGCTGTTAAGTGGTCCTGATTTAACCAGTAACTTAATCAGTGTATTATTGAGATTCCGTCTAGAGCCAATTGCCATCATTGCAAATATTAATTCTATGTATTATATGGTTTATGTAGCAGACGAAGACACAGATTTCCTTAGATTTCTATGGTATCCAAATGGTGATATTGATAAGCCACCAATAGTTTACAAAATGTTAGTTCATATATTTGGCGCAACATCGTCACCTAGTTGTGCCATATCAGCATTACAAAGAACAGCTAGAGATTTTAAGACAGACTTAAATACTGAAGCAGCTCAAACAATCTTCAAACATTTCTATGTAGATGACTGTCTGAAATCTGTTCCAACAGAAGAAGAAGCCATTACATCGGTAAACCATTTAAAAAAACATCTGTAATAATGGTGGATTTCAGTTATCAAAATGGATGAGTAACAGCAGAAAAGTTCTAGAAAAAATACCAATAGAGGATCAAGCCTAAGAACTTAGAAATTTGAATCTAGATATTGTTGATCTCCCCACAGAAACTGCACTTGGAGTTTACTGGTCACCAGAGAATGGCAGTTTAGGAATTAAAATCAACATACAAGAGAAACCAGCAACTAAACGAGGTATACTCATCACTATATGCTCAGTGTACGATCCATTTGAGCAGCACCTTTGATTCTTTCTGCTAAAATCATTTTGCAGAATATTTGTCAGTTACATATGCAGTGGGATGAAGATATTCCTGCTAATTTATTACAGAAATGGAACCAACGGCTATATCAATTACCTAATTTGGAAAATGTATCAATAGCGAGATTCTACAAACCAATGGATTTTGGCAGAATAATATCACGTCAAATTCACAGTTTCAGCGATGCATCCGAATCCGGTTATGGTTCAGCGATATATCTTCGTCAGGTCACAGTGGCAGTAACATCAATACGTCTCAGTAAAATGGTAATAGCTGATCTTGAATTCATTTTGACAGAAAATGACATATTTTACTGGACTGAGAGCCAGAATGAATATACTTCAACATGGTTAAAGAAGACTGTGGCATAGATTTTGATTGGTATGAGGAATATTCAAAATCGTATCAAGAGAAAACGTCAAACAGATTTTACAGAATCAATTAATTCATCTATATCAGCCGAATCTCTAAAAGAAGCAGAAAGAAGAATTTTTATTTATGAAATCAGCAAATTAAAGAGATCTTTAAATCTGAAGAAAGACAGTACAATTGTAAAATAAGATCCATATTTACAGGATCATTTGTTACGGGTTGATGGACGTCTTCATCTTTGAGTTGGACATCTTGGTTGAAATTCTATGTTAGCAAAGCCGAGAGAAACATATTGGATAGTCAAAACAGGAACAGCAATCAAAAATGGTATCCAAATGTATAGTTTGTCGTCTTAACGGTGGTCTATGGTGTGAACCCAAATTTAAAAGCCTCAATATAGTATAAATGGTCCAAAAGGGACACATTCTTTGAAAAAAGTCGAAAAATCGTTATATCTGTAAATCTGCTTCTAATGGTATAAGGGGGGTAAAACTGTCCAATGGATCTTTCTGAAACTTCTGGTACAGGAAGTTAAGTTCCCATACCACTTGTTAAATCTATCCCGATAATGATCCGTAAACAGGAAGTAGTCAAAAAAAATATTCGATATTTAAAAAAAAAGACAGTAAAAAAATCGGTGCTCTTGCAACAATCGGGATTTCACCGTCGGGTGTGAACGGATCAAAACATCTAAAGTATCGTTTGGTAGCTCGATAAATGGGCTATTGTATGACACACTTCCTGTTTGATTCCTGAAAGTCGGTTCAGTGCTGCTTGCAGGTCTAGTTATTATTTTTTTTTTTCCGCGGGAGCCTATTTCTCCATGATCGAAAACAGATATCGATCTGGAACCAAATTTTCTATTGGAAAACCATGTGGTGGCTACTTGATAAAACAATTTTGAAACTTCTGCGCATACCGGAAGTAACCAAATTTTGTACTTTTCGTACGGTGGTCTATGGTGTAAACCCAAATTTAAAAGCCTCAATATAGTTTAAATGGTCCAAAAGGGCCACATTCTTTGAAAAAAAGTCGAAAAATCGTTATATCTGTAAATCTGCTTCTAATGGTATAAGGGGGGTAAAACTGTCTAATGGATCTTTCTGAAACTTCTGGTACAGGAAGTTAAGTTCCCATACCACTTGTTAAATCTATCCCGATAATGATCCGTAAACAGGAAGTAGTCAAAAAAAATATTCGATATTTAAAAAAAAAGACAGTAAAAAAATCGGTGCTTTTGCAACAATCGGGATTTCACCGTCGGGTGTGACCGGATCAAAACATCCAAAGTATCGTTTGGTAGCTCGATGAATGGGCTATTGTATGACACACTTCCTGTTTGATTCCTGAAGCCGGTTCAGTGCTGCTTGCAGGTCTAGTATTATCATTATTTCTTTCCGCGGGAGCCTATTTCTCCATGATCGAAAACAGATATCGATCTGGAACCAAATTTTCTATTGGGAAACCATGTCGTGGCTACTTGATAAAACAATTTTGAAACTTCTGCGAATAACGGAAGTAACCAAATTTTGTACTTTTTTCCGGAATTGAAAATCGGCCGTGGTTTCCTCAATTCTTTACCTATTTTCAAACAAATGACATTTTCGGAAACCCCGAATCTTTTCCGAGATAATGGCTATATCACATTTTTCAATTTCGAACATTCATCTATGGCTTTTGTCGTTCGAATTTTGAAAATACGTTGTTTACGAGACAATTTTTGTTATTTTTCAAAATTTTCAAATTTGACCTACATTTTTGGATACCTGAAGACCATCCGATTCCAGAAATATAAGTTTCATTCCGAATCATCGCCCTTTATTTTTCGATTTTTTTCGAATTTTCTGCCCATTTCCCAACCCTTATATTTTTTGGAAAGGATAAATCGATAGTTCTGAAAGTCCTGGAACATAAAGCTATATAGTCAGACCGCTGCATAAAGCAATTTCAACAACGATCCGGAAACCGGAAGTAGTCGAAACAATGATATGTGTTTTGGGGAAAACCTCGATTTCTCCGTTAAGTATCAATGGATTAAACGAATTAAGATTTCGTTGAGTGGCCCGAGGAATGGACTGTAGTATGATGCCCAATTTATACAGATAGTATGACCAAGCAGCAAAATATGACATGCTGAAAATCAAGTATTTTCTGATTTGGAGCGTTTTTGGACGCCTGTATCTCGAAAACTGCTCCAAGGATTTTTCTTAAACTTTCCCTATCGAGAGTCCCTCCGGTAGTCTTGTGCATGAATCCATCCAATAAGACATTGAAATGTCTGAAATAGGTAAAATAACGTAGGTAGGTAAAATAGCTGACCTAATTACGATTCTAACGATGTATAATATGTATTGAAATATTTAAATTTAATTTTCGATATATTGACATTTTTGAATTTTTGGCACTTTTGAACATAGGATTTCTCAGGGACATTTTATCTGATCAGATAATGTAATATATCATTACAGAGTCCTGTGGCTGTCTAATTGCCCAAATTGGTTATTAAAACTATCCCGACAATAATCTCAAAAAATGAAGAAATGGGTTTAAAAAAATTACCGGTCGTGCGAAAAACTTCATTTCTCCATCAGATCGTAACGGACCAAAATAACTAAAGTGTCGCTGGATAGCCCCATTAATGGACTATCATATGACATCTGAATGATACGATTTAGATGACTAGAAAATAAATTATGGTACGCCGAAAATCTAGTATTTTCCGTTTTGGAGCATTTTGAGAGGCCTTTTTCTCAAACACAACAACTACGTTTTTTCTTAGAGTCCTCTGGATGGGCTATGGCATGAGTCCAAAAATAAAAGCATTGAAATAACATAAGTTGTCCAAAAAGAGCCTCAATCTTGGAAAAAGTTGAAAAATCCTTAGATTACTGAAAATGATCTTCTAATTTTCTTTCTTTGGAAAACAGCTGAATAGATCTTTCTGAAACTACTGGTACAGGAAGTTAAGTTCCCATACAACGTGTTAAATCTATCCCGACAATGATCCGTAAACCGGAAGTAGTCGAAAAAATATTCGATTTTAAAAAAACCCCAGTAAAAATCGATGCTCTTGCAAAAATCGTGATTTTACCGTCGTGTGTGACCGTATCAAAACATCTAAAGACGTGTAAAGTATCGTTTGGTAGCTCGATGAATGAGCTATTGTATGACAAACTTCCTGTCAGATTCCTGAAAGCCGGCTCAGTGCTGCTTGCCGGTCTAGTTATTAGGCACTCTGAAAGACTATTGTTTTTACTAAATTTATTATTAGGCTTTCAGACTTTATTATTATTATTTACCGCGGGAGCCTATTTCTCCATGATCGAAAACAGATATCGATCTGGGGTTCAATTTTCTATCGGGAAACCATGCGGTGGCTACTTGATAAAGTATTTTTGAAACTTCTGCGCAGACCGGAAGTGGCCGAATTTCGTGCGGTGCATAAAAATTAAAAAACGGCCGTAGCTTCGTCAATTCTGTACCTATTTTCATAC